TGTGTGTGTGTGTGTGTGTGTGTGTGTGTGTGTGTATGGTACTGGGGTTTGAACTCAGGCCTCATGCACGTGGGGTGGGTGTTCTACCACTTGAGCCACACCTCCAGCCATGGGGACCTTTTCTTTATGAACTTTTAAACCCAAAGATGACATTATGACCCGTTGATATGCAAATCTGAGTGATGGCTTGAGTAAATTTGCATCTAGTCAAGGAGCAAGGAATGTGTCAAGCTGGACACTGGTGACTCACGCCTATAATCCCAGCTACTTGGGAGGCTGAGATCAGGAAGATCAGGGTCAAGGCCAGCCCAGACAAATAGTTTTTGAGACCCCCATCTCCAAAAATAACCAGAGAAAAATGGGCTGGAAGTGTGGTTCAAGCAGTAGATCACCTGCTTTGCAAGCACAAAACCCTGAGTTCAAACCCCAGTCTCACAAAAAATAAATAAATAAAGGGAATGTGTCATCGAGTCCTTACCTGATCCCCAGTGAAACGGCCACAATTTCCTGGTCTGTGGGTTTTGTCTGGTATATCTTGGCCATGACACACAGGCTCCAGAGAAACAATGGCAGCACAAGGAAACAGCAATAGCATTTTCTAGAACCCAAATCATCAGGAAATTGGAATGATGAAACTCACATATAGGAAATGTAAAGCAACTAAAAAGATTGAGTGCAAAATCCACCAATAAGGAAAAAAAAAAGAGAAAGAAATGGGACTAAAACCACATAGAAAATTAAGCATTAAATAGCCGAATTACACATGGTTAGGAGACCCGTCATGGCAGTAGGGTTTAGTGAGGTTTGAAATGACTTCACTTGCTGGGATGAATCGGATCGTCCCAGCTGATCCATGACGGCCACTCCGCCTCGAGTGACCCAGGCTCAGCGTGAGCATCTAAAAACTCCAGGACAACACGTGGCTGCACAGGCGCTGTGCTGTGGGAAATGATCACTGGACCTGTGACTATGACCTTGAAGACCTGCAGTCCATGAAAACAGAAGGAAAATTCCAATGACGGCAACGTTGAAAGAGCGTCTGAAAATGGGGTGTGAGGCCCTTGCGGAAGCAGGACGTAGGCACAATTCTAGCTGCTGCCTGGGACGTGAGCTCTGGGCCCCTCCGCCCTTTGGCTGCAGGCATCTGGACTGACCTAAGCAACAGCCAGTGACGCTGCTCAGGTCACTGGGAGGGTACTTGGGAAGAGACCTCCCCCAGTTGATGGGGGGCTCTCAACACAATGTTTCAAGCCCACTGAGACCCAGGAGCTTGAATCAAGGAAGAAATGAAGTTTGAAGCAATCCAAGAAACCCGCACACGAGGTCACAGGCCCGCAGAGGCGTGCTAGCGTGGAAAGACAAAGCAGGGAGGAAGGAAAGGAAGAATGTGCTAGCTTCTTCTGACAAGCCCAGAGAGCAGTCCTTGACCCACAGGTACCTATGTCCCTTAACTGGGTTGGGGTTTCCAGTTCAGCTGGTCACCTGGATGTATGGTCACCTAGCAACTTCCCAGTTGCACTATTGTGATACCATCATCCAAGCATGGAAACACCGTTGTCTCCATGAGCTGGCCTAACATGCAAAGCATCTTGGGAAATGGGTGTCTTTTCTTTGTGGTCTTTTTAAGGTATATTTCCTGATCACAGATTTACAAAAGCCAGGCACTTTCTATTCTGAGACTCGATTATTCCTCTAAGGGCACCATATCTCCTTAATGTCTGAGAGGAGGGAGGGGATGGAAGGAATGCACGGCTTGTTGGTTCTTGAGGAGTTGATTAAATCCCTTGCTGTTCTGGTGAGCTTTCAGCCTTAGTTCCTGGTTCCGTCTCAGCTTCTACACCCAGCTTCTTCTTCTTATTTTGATATCTTTTCTAATTTCTGTCACCTTGCCCTAGCCACCCTGCCTCACTGAGAGGCTCAAGACACACATCAAGAGGTTATCAGATTCCTATCCAGGTGCCAGTGGCTCACACCTGTAATCCTAGCTACTTAGGAGGAAAAGATCAGGAGGATTGAGGTTCAAAGCCAGCCTGGGAAAATAATTTGAGAGACCCTCTCTTGAAAATATCCAACACAAGACAGGGCTGACGGAGTTGCTCAAGCAGTGGAGCACTGAGTTCAAGCCCCAGCACAACCAAAGGTGGGGGAGCATCATTCCTGCTTTATAGACACTCCATTCTGTTCACACAGTCCTTCCTTCATCTTCTATGGGCATATTCACATATATATTCTGTTCTCAAAAATCCATAGTGAAAATAACCATTCTCTGAGTCCCCCAGTCTCAGTGAAGTACAAATTCATGTACAAGCAGCTGCCAGGCATTGTTTTGTAACTGGACGGGAGGAGCGAGGTCCACTTTATGATGGAGCCAGCTTCCGCCAGGTGTTCTTGTTTTTTTGAGGGGGGTGTTGTTTGTTTTTTGGTGGGACTGGGATTTGAACTCAGGGCTTTGCTTGCAAAGCAGGTACTCAACCACTTGAACCACACGTCCAGTCCATTTTGCTCTGGTTATTTTGGAGATGGAGTTTCTAGAACCATTTGCCCAGGCTGGCCTCAAACCACGAGTCTCCCAATCTCAGTCTCCCAAGTAGCCACCACCACATACAGCTTCTGCTAGCTTTGGGGTATAAACATTTGTCACTGGGGAGGGATGACCCCTGTTTCTTTCTACATATCCAGCAGCCTATATGAGATCCCACTTTCCCAGAATTTCAGAGAACGCTGATCTGAGCTATCTGAATCCGTGTCTCCAGAATTGCAATTTCTAAAACTCCAAATAAAGTCCTTTTTCTCTTGCAGTTTCCGAGTTTGGACCAATCGACTAGTAATCGAGCCCACATGAAAGGCACCGAGGCAAGGAGGGCCATAAGCAAGGCATCGCCAGGTCACTGGGCAGTCTGTCACACTGTTACTGGAGACTGGCGTGGAAACAAGAAGTGAGACTGAGCCAATGTTTGACATACAGAAAAGGGACTCCTGCTGGAGCTGGCTGACTTCAGCTAGAGCTGAAGGGAATCAGCCCAGACGAGAGAGAGAGAGAGAGAGAGAGAGAGAGAGAGAGTCCAGGCTGCTCTGCTGTCTGAAGAGAGAGGCAGGTTTTATTGATTTACTGGGGCGGGCTAAAGCCTTGTAATTTTCCTCTGGCCATTGGCACAGTTTCAAAAACCGTTTTCCTTCTTGTGCGAGACACAGGCCTATGCACAGGTTTACTCTTGCTGCCTGCACACATGTCCTCGCCTTGTGGCTCAGTGTGGGCTTTATGACAGGCTAAAGGACTTGAGCTGCTTCAGCCGCTGAGAAAGCACAAGGATGGGTTTGCAGAGACTCGTGTCTGCCCCGATGGCAGCAGGCCGATTTAACCCTGCATTATCACCTTGGACCAAGTATTTCTCAAATGACCGACATGTCTACACGCCCAACTTAGTACAGTCTGACCCGAAGCTCAAGGCATCACACACACAGGCACAATAGGAAGCCAGCAAGACAAGCTTTTCCATCCTGTTCCAGTCAGACATGTGCAGGCCAAAGTGAAGAGTCAGTTTTCAGCTAAAGTGGCCTTCTGGTTCCTGAAACGTAACCTGGGCAGCTGTTGCCATAACCCACACGTCAGCAAAGCCAGTGGGAAAGTAACAATGTGTTTCCCAGCTTTGGGACCTCCAAAATTAGTGATTTTTAAGTCAACTGAGAGCAAACGAAGCCACAGGGTTTATTGGTTATTGTTCCCTTGGAGGCTGACACCTGAGTTGCTTCTGGGAGCTTCCCAAGGCATTTTCCTTAGTCCCCTATGGGGCCAGGGCTCATGCAACCTCCTCTTGATGTTCCTCCTGCCCAGGCAGGGGAACTGAATGGAAGGGATGTCGGGATTTCCCAGTTCTCATAAGGCTCGTGTCTTTGGGCCGAGTAAACTCCTAGAACAGCTCGTGAATGGGGCGGGGAAGTCTCGCTGATGAGCGGATGTGAGCTCGAGTGACTAGAAGAACAAGCGATGTGTCCGTACTGTGCACCGGGCTGACAACGCGGCACTGTCCAATATCCACTACTGTGCTAAGTGTAAGATAAAGTTTTAATCCCCAAGAAACTCCGACTATTTCTTGGAAAGATAGTTAAGTAAACAGAGAGTGACAACAGCATATGACAAATGCAGGGACACCGTGCGTGCTTGGGAGAGGGCAAGGAACAAAGGAACAAGTAGCGTACAGAGTGTGCCAGGCAGTAATAAAAGTCCTGAGAAAAGAGAAAGCAAGGAAGAAGTGGGGGAAGGGATCTGGAGAACCACACTGTTGTAAACATGTGGGTGACATGGTGACATCTGAGCAGTATCTGCAGGAAGAGAGGGCGTGAGCCATGCAGTCACTCAGGGAAGAGGAAACTGCAAGTGCAAAGCCCCTGAGGCAGCCATGTGCCCTACGTGTTCCAGAAAAGAGCTGGGAAGCCAGCATGGCTGGACTACAGTAAGCCGGGAAGAGAGATGAGCAGGGAGGTGACAAGTAACATCGTTTCCTGTGAGCAAAATGAGCTATCGGAAGGTTTGGGGTAGAACAGTGACATGGCTTGTCTGAGTTTTAAGGGAGCCACTCTGGCTTCTGTGCTAGGTTAGACCATAGAAGGTCCCTGGCTTAACAATGGGTGACATCCCTGCTGCCTCTGCCCATCCCAGCCCCAGGTCGCCACTGCTCTGCACCGGGTCCCTGTAGCTGTGCCTTTTCCAGAATGTCATGTACCTGGAGTCCCCCTGCACAATCACGCACCGGGGATTCATCGTGGCGTCGCACGAAGCTTGGAATTCCGGGGGCTGTACCGCAGCAGTGGGGCGCACTTGGGTTGTTCCCACGTTCTGCTGGTTATAAATAAAGCTGCCAAAGGCCTTTGTACATGGGGCTTTGTCCCAGCCCGTTTTCTTTTCTCAGGGGTAAATAAATGCTAGGCGTGGGTTGCTGAGCGTGAGGTAGGCTTTGCGTGAAATGCAGGCGTTTCACCCCACCAGCAGCTGTGCAGGAGTTTCAGTCACTCATCAGTTGCCCCAGCTTTTTCTGGCACTTGCCTCCTGCTGAGAAGGGAGGTGGTGCCCGGTGTGGGGGCAGGCTTTGGGGGCAGTGTTTAGGGTCACGCTGGGTCGTGTAAGGCTGAAATTCTTGACCATCTACGGGGAGAGACTGGGTGGTCAGTGGACACCCAGGGAGAGGAGAGAGGGCTTCCGCTCGAGTCCCCTGCCCACAGATGGTACATGAAGCCGTAAAACCGGAGGGTCCCACCGGGGAGTGAGTGTAAGTCAGTGGAGCAGAAGAGCCCAAGGGTGACCTGGGGCATCCATCAGCAGAGGCTGGAAGAGGAAGAAGAAACAAATATAATTTTGCTCTGAGTCACTGAGACCAGCTTGGTTTCCACTCACGATGCTCTGTGGCTGCTCACAAGACATCAGCCCTGAGGTCACCTGGAGGGACATCTCCATGAGGACTTTACAGTGCCTTGCACACAGGTGACAAAGAGTGACTTGGAGCTGGGAAAAGCCACTCTCTTCACCACCATGTGGAACCAGCAGCAGTTCAGGGACCTGGGGACACAGCGCCCTGAGCAAGGACGCTGTTGGACTTTGAAGGGGCAGCAGTGGGACTCCTTCTGGAGCTGGACGTCGCAGCCACGTTGCCGGGCCGCGCCTGCAGCAGAAAATGGAGAGAAAGCGAAGACTTGTTCTGGAATGAGCATGAGCTCAAAACTGGGGACACCTGGAACTAACTGGGGGACACTTAGAGGGCCCAATATTCTTGTGAGCCAATGTTTTCTTCATTGAGTGACTTCTATCTGATTTGATCATGCTGACGAAACCTGACTTACGGAGTCCATGATAACAAGAAAGCGTTTTGTTAAAGAAAAGAAAAGAAAAAAAAGCTATCTGCACACTGAAACTATTATAAAATATCGAGTTCTCAGTTAGGAGTGCATTTGGCTACAAGTGAAGGAAACTCCAAAGCAAACAAAAACCTATTGCCTAGTTCAGGTGCAGCACCCAACCATATCATCACAGCAGTGGCTTCGACTCGTCACTTCTGGTAGCCTCGTGGGCCTAAGATGGCTACTGAAGTTTAGGCATTGCATCTGCAGCCAATACTGAAAGCCTTCTTTCAGGTAAGGTAAGAAAGGATGATACCAGGAAAAAAGAAAACCTCCGGAAGAAGCCATCCATCTCAATGGCCAGTACTTAGTTCCATCGCACATGTGACATTGTGACCACGGGAGAGACTGGGGAAATGAACATTTAGCTCTTGGTGTCTGAGGTGGAGGAAGCAGAAGAGAGGGACTAGAAGAGGTGTTGGCTTACCGACACCAAGGGAAGTCTCGAGGTTATACAGGTGCTTTGTTTGCAGAAGTGGCTTTGAACTCAGGCCACTTGAGCCACGCCTCCAGTCTTTCTGTTTTAGCTATTTTCTCACATGTGTCTGCGCTGGACCTCAATTTCCTATTTATGATTTCACTGCGCCTAGTTTGCATTTTGTTGCGGTGGCTTTTGTTTGTTTTGTTTTTGTTTTGAGACCAAATTCACAATCCTCCTGCCTCAGCCTCCCGAGTGCTGGGATTACAGATGTGCAGTACCACACCCTGCTAAACAAGCATCTTCAAACCCTTATCCTGGTTCAGAGAGGAGCATGGCTGGGAGGTCCTGGGCAGAGGGAAGGTCCCCTCAAGGGTTAATGATTGAAGGAAGGATTGAGGAAGGAGTGGGTGAGGGAGGAGCAGCTCAGCCTCACAGCCTACAGCCATCAGTTCATCTGTAAGACATTTGTCACCAAGGCCAGATGGTTCCCACCCGCCCCTAGGGAGGTGAGCTGAGCTCCACAAGGGCTGCAGTAGTTCGAAGGTGAGTCAGTTGAAGATGCTCAGGAGTCCTGGATGGGCAGGTTGAGCCCAGGGGCCCAATTCCCATGGGTTACCTCTTGAGACAGCCCAGCAGAGTCAGGGTCTTGATCTGCAGCTCTCATAAGGGAAGGGACAGTCCCTCTTGGGGGTCAGGCACCAGCTCTCAGTTTCATATCTCAGGCCGTGGGCTTCCAAGAGCCCCTCAGGCTCAGGGGCCACCCGGAGGCTGATATCCCAACCAAGAGCTAGTCCCTCCTTCCCCAAGTGTCCTGCCATGATGAATAATTTCTCTGCCTGGCACAGTTCTGGGCATTGATTTCTCAGGGGCTTCTGTAAAGACCTCCGCCCCCATTAGAGGGAGTGACAGGGGTGAGGAGACAGACAGACCTGAGGACACTGAGGCTTAGATGGAGGTGAGAAGGAAGAGAAACAGGACAGAAGGAGGGAAACAAAAGAGAAGAAAATGAGGTGCGATTTGGGGCAGACTGGAGGCAAGGCTGGGGTGATTTTCTGGCAGAAGCTCCTGGGCAGAGGAGGGGGATGGAGAGGAGTAGGGGAATAAGAGGAGGGGTTCTGGGAATAGAAAGAGCAGGGCGGGAAGGGGTAAAGGGGACCAGCAAGCTAGGGCTGAGGGGTGAAGGCAAACAGGAGGGTAAGAGGACAGTCACAGATAAGGAGGGCACTAGATCACAAGGTGAGGAGCCATGAGGATACGGCCAGGGCTGTGCCAGGACCTGCTGTGTGGCCTGGACACCTGAGTCACTCATCACTCCCAGCTGCTTCCCTAATGAGCAGGAGGCCAGGTTTTGTTGTTTGTTTTTAAACGAAAATAACCCCTGAAGCGTTTATTGTTTTCTGATAGTAATATAAAGATAATCAAAACAGTGGGGATGGAGCCAGGGCTATGACTCAGGGGCAGATTGCTTGGCCAGCATGCAAGGACCTGGGTTTCATCCCCAGTGCAGAAAAAACAAACAGGCCGGGTGTGATGGCTCATGTCTGTAATTCCAGTTACTCAGGAGGCAGCGATCAGGAGGATTTCAGTTGGAAGCCAGCCTGGGCAAATACTTAGCAAGTCCCCATTTCCACAAAACTTAGCAAGACCCCATGTCCTAGCCTGGACATGTCCGGGGTGTATAACCTCAGTTGTGCAGGAGCCACAGATAAGAAGGTGTCACCCTACGAGGCCGGGCTGGAGATAAACATAAGGCCCTACCTGAAAAATAACTAAAGGAAAAAAGGGCTGGGGCGTAGGCTTATATGGTAAAGTACCTGCCTAGCAAGCCAGAGGCCTTGAGTTCAAACCCCAGGATTGCCAAAACCAAACAAAACAATGCAAATATTTTTGAACTGTCCTCCTAACAAAGGACACCTCATGAACACACACAATCTGCATTATTTTTATCATTCCTAGTTGGGGACATTGAGTAGCAGAGTAAGAACATCTCTCTTTTCTTTTTTTTCTTTTTCGGGAATTTTTTTTTTTCATGTAGCTCTTTTTTTTTTTTTTCATTTTTCTTTTATTATTCATATGTGCATACAAGGCTTGGGTCATTTCTCCCCCCTGCCCCCACCCCCTCCCTTACCACCCACTCCACCCCCTCCCGCTCCCCCCCTCAATACCCAGCAGAAACTATTTTGCCCTTATCTCTAATTTTGTTGTAGAGAGAGTATAAGCAATAATAGGAAGGAACAAGGGTTTTTGCTGGTTGAGATAAGGATAGCTATACAGGGCATTGACTCACATTGATTTCCTGTGCGTGGGTGTTACCTTCTAGGTTAATTCTTTTTGATCTAACCTTTTCTCTAGTTCCTGGTCCCCTTTTCCTATTGGCCTCAGTTGCTTTTAAGGTATCTGCTTTAGTTTCTTTGTGTTAAGGGCAACAAATGCTAGCTAGTTTTTTAGGTGTCTTACCTATCCTCACCCCTCCCTTGTGTGCTCTCACTTTTATCATGTGTTCAAAGTCCAATCCCATTGTTGTGTTTGCCCTTGATCTAATGTCCACATATGGGGGAGAACAAATGATTTTTGGTCTTTTGGCCAGGCTAACCTCACTCAGAATGATGTTCTCCAATTCCATCCATTTACCAGCGAATGATAACATTTTGTTCTTCTTCATGGCTGCATAAAATTCCATTGTGTATAGATACCACATTTTCTTAATCCATTCGTCAGTGCTGGGGCATCTTGGCTGTTTCCATAACTTGGCTATTGTGAATAGTGCCGCAATAAACATGGATGTGCAGGTGCCTCTGGAGTAACAGTCTTTTGGGTATATCCCCAAGAGTGGTATTGCTGGATCAAATGGGAGATCGATGTCCAGCTTTTTAAGTAGCCTCCAAATTTTTTTCCAGAGTGGTTGTACTAGTCTACATTCCCACCAACAGTGTAAGAGGGTTCCTTTTTCCCCGCATCCTTGCCAACACCTGTTGCTGATGATGGCTATTCTAACAGGGGTGAGGTGGAATCTTAGTGTGGTTTTAATTTACATTTCCTTTATTGCTAGAGATGGTGAGCATTTTTTCATGTGTTTTCTGGCCATTTGAATTTCTTCTTTTGAGAAAGTTCTGTTTAGTTCACGTGCCCATTTCTTTATTGGTTCATTAGTTTTGGGAGAATTTAGTTTTTTAAGTTCCCTGTATATTCTGGTTATCAGTCCTTTGTCTGATGTGTAGCTGGCAAATATTTTCTCCCACTCTGTGGGTGTTCTCTTCAGTTTAGAGACCATTTCTTTTGATGAACAGAAGCTTTTTAGTTTTATGAGGAACATCTCTCTTTTCAATGTGTTGGACCTGGTTGTTTTCTGAACTTTGTTTTGAGTGAATCCCTGTTGTATCAACTCCAAGCTTTACACACCCACCCAAACCACCACACAGCCCCAGGCAACAGCTGGCAGGCAGTCACCATCCCCATCCCCGGTCCTGCACAGGGACAGGGACTCAGCTGGGTTCCAGAGGTAGTGGCCTGACTGCAGAGCTTGAGGGAGCTGGAGCACTAGCCTGGGTCCCTGAGCAGGCAGGAAGCCAGAGATCCCCTCAAAGCTGGGAACGTGATGTCACCCCGCATCTCCTTGGGAGCAGGTGAGGTGACTGAGTGGTGGTGCTGCAGAGCCTAGAGCCATGCTCACTGCCTCATTGCTTTGCTCCTTCCTCGAGAGGGAGGGATTCATAGAATCAGCGGTGAGTCACTGCGTGAGTCAGCTCCTGGCAGGGAGCAGCTGTGGTTGCAGATCCAAGCATGGAGGCTTTGATGGGACACCACCTGGTTGACCTCCCAAGTCCCATCCCAGGTTGGCAGAGGGGTGACGGAGCCTGGAGGAGAGGTAACGCCCCCTTCTCGTAGGGGTGAGCTTCTCTTGCCCAGCCCTGCTTTGAAAATCCCCAGGCTGGCGGGGGTCCCAGCCCTGCATGTCTGTGCTTGGAACCTGGACCTCCAGGCCACAACCTCCTGCCTCCTCTCCACCAGACCATCGCCTAAGAGAGGATTTGGGGAGGGAGGGCGAGCCCGAGCGTGCAAAGGCCAGAGGGTCAGGATGTCGAACCCTAGGCGGAAAGCATGCATCGGCTTGAACCTCAGGCCAAGAGGCAACCTGACACCTGCCTCTCCCCATTTTAGGCCCAGCTGGCCCTTTGTTTCAATGTCCCAATACAATGGAGAAAATGGGAACTGGAGAATAAATAATTTATTGAAATTGGAAGAATAAATATATGGGCAGGATTACAAATTACTGTAAAAACCATTAACACACATGTACATGAAGGTGCCCTGGCCCAGGGGGCGGAGCCTGCTGTCGTGGGCGTGGAGTGGGCGTGGCATCTCATCCCACACTGGCCGCCGACGCCCCCTAGAGGCGGAAGACGTATTTACAACCGAGGAAGCCACGAGAGGTCGCTGCTCTCTGCACCCCTTCCGCGCACTGCGACCCCACTGCCCCGCGAGCGTCCACGGAGCTGCACCTCTTGCACGATCCTCTGAACCCAGGTGCGGTGGGAGAGGAGGCTGGTGTAGACACCCGGCCGGTTGCGCTGCGCGCAGCCCTCGCCCCAGCTGATGATGCCCGCTAGGACCCAGGAGCTTTCGACCTTGCACATCAGGGGGCCCCCGGAGTCGCCCTTTAGAAAAGAGAGAACATTAGGGATCCACAGAGGCAGGCGGTGGGCAGAGCCCAGGACCACAAATCATGGTGGGAAGGGGGCACCCTGGGCTCGGATGTCTTTGCCCGAGGCAGCAGCACCCCTGGAAGGACCCACCTTCTGGGCACTGTAGGCAGAAGTAGTTTGCACATCCTAACACAGCCCCGTCGAGCAGGGGATGTGGTCATTTGTTTTACACAAATGAAAAAAAAAAAAAAGTGATGTTCAGAAGAAAGAAATGACTTTTCCCAGCTGGCATCTTCTGCAGCAGGTAAGCACTGCAGCCAGGCCTTATGCTGGCCAAACCTGGGGGCTTGGCATTACATGCAATCACCGGTGAGACTGGAGTTGGCCCTGGCGACAGGGTTCCTGGACCATGGGGATCCCCCTCAGAATGCCAGCTCCCAGAGTGAGGTGCTTGGTGCACAGCTGATGTGTGAACAAGGAAATGAATAGCTGAGCCAGGCCCAGGGGAGCTGTTTAGGGACTGGGAGAATGGATGGTGGTCACCAGCAATTCTGGGGAGGAGGCTTAAGAAGAGATGATGGATATTTCAGGCCTAACAGTCAAGGTGGGTAGAGGGTGGATGCTCACCAGACAGGCGTCTCGCTCCCCTTCCAGGTAGCCAGCACACAGCATGTCCTCTGTGATGGCTTGCTGACCCACTGTCCCGCCAGTACAGGTGGCTGCAGGTTTCTGAGTCGATGATGGGTACCTTCAACTTCTGCAAGGTCTGAGGGTGGTGCAGGGGCACTGGGAAAGGATAAGAGAGGAGAGGGTCAGATCCAGGCTCTTCTACTCACCTCCTCAAGGGGCAGGTTTTCTCCGTTCCCATAGCAGCGTTTCTCAAAGCCCAATGAATCAGCTCTACTGAGTTCTTGCAAAATGCTTTTGGAAAACCCGAATTCTATGTTTTCACCTCTGGAGCCACTGAATTGGGACGTGGATGTGCAACCTGAGATCCTGTGTCTCCCATAAGCTGCCTGGCCTGGGTGTAGTGGTCCATACTTGTAACCACAGCACTTGAGAGGCACAGGCAAGAGGACTGCAAGTTTAATGCCAGGCTTGGCTACATGAGGAGACCCTAATTAATTAATTTAAAAATAAGCAACCTGATGGTTTATTAGCCCCCTTACAGAGGGCTAAACAAACAGTCTGGCGTTTCCTGTCTCTGCCACTACTTTGTGCAGCATGAGGACTGCAGAGTGCATTCAGTAAATGTCCTCTCAGTGCTAACATCAGGGCCTGAGGGAACCCCTCGCCCTGTCTAGGGTTGGTCTGCAGATCCCAGGGGGAGGCTGTCACCTCAGAGTCTGGGTGTGCCCCCCATGCCTGAGCAATTCTTCTAGACTCTGGTTAGGGTTCCGTTTTCCTTCCCCTTTGTCCGTATTTAGTCTCTGTCTCTCCCTCAGACTCTGCCTTCCAGGTCTTCCTTTTGTCCCTTTCATAGATTATTTCTGCCTGTGTTTCTTTTGTTTGGCTCAGTCTCTATTTGTCCATCCACCTGCCATTTGTCTTTCTCTTATTTCTCCTCTGTCTCTTACTTTATTTCATCCAGTTTGTGTTTCTAGATGGTGTTTTCTGAACCTCCAAACTTGGTTTGATAATTGTGTTTTTCAGGGAGAAGATAGCTTTCCTCCTCAGAATTTTGCCTGCAATTGTGGCATGCCGCCACTAGGGGGTGCCTGTTCTCATCTGGGAATTTCAGGGCTGATTTCACTTCATCCTGTCTGCATCCAGCTTGGCCTCACACATGCCTCCTCCCAGCCATTCATACGTCAATGAGTAGCTTTGCTGATCTAAACCTCGTCCAAAAACCCTCCTCCCTTTCAACTAGAAACTACCTAAAATTGCCTACCTAGGCTTCTGTGCCTTCACATCTCAGGACATGTCTGTCTGTCCTTGTCTCTGTCATGCTGCTTCTGGCTTTCTACCCTCTGTGGTTTGTGGTGTCTGTATCTCTCAGTGGCTACTACCATCTGTCCCCAGCCATCCCTAACCCGGCAGGGGATGGGAGGTTGCCTCACCTCCATCATGGATGCTTCCCCATCCTGCAATCCAGCATTCGGTGTTTGGAGGGAGGCGGACAGAAGAATCAGGAAGGCAGATGGGCAGGATCCTCTCAGAGAACAGGATGGGGGTTTTGAGGCGCACCAGGGCGATGTCTGCACTGGCCGCCTCCTTCCAGGAGTATGTGGGATGGGGTAGCACCCAGGCAACACCCACCTGCTTGGCCCCAGGGCCAGGGTTCTCCAGCTGCCAGGCCCCCAGCAGCACAGAGAACAGGGATAGCTTGTTCAGGTTGCTGGAAGGGAAGGGAAGAGAAGTGAGGGGGTCAACGAGGATGTGTCAGGGAGATGACACCTAGGGCCACAGAAAGGGTTCAAAGCCCCCCAAAAGACAAGACAGGCTTCCAGGCAGAATGAGGGTCTCTCCTGAGGGGCACCACAGTCAGACAGAGGCTGAGGTCATGGGGAGCCCAGAATCTGAGGGAGGAAGCCTGGAGAGCCAAGGACGGGCCTGGCCACACGTACCCCTTGAAGCAGTGCGCGGCAGTGACCACCCAGTGGCTGGTGAGCAGGGAGCCTGCGCAGTGGTGGGTGCCGTTCTTGCGAATGCTCACGACCCAAGGCCACTCGCCATCTGTGCTGTCCTGGCCGCCCACGACCCGGTTCAGCTGCTGGGGCACCCCACACTCTGGGGAGGAGGGTCAAGTTTTCCGTCATCTCCGCAGACACAATTGTCTGCATACGTACCTACCACTGCCTCCAGGTCCTCAGCCTTCTCCTCGTGGCTGAGCCCTTGCTCTGCACCTGCCCCCTTTAGCTGTTTCTTCTGCTGGCCTGCCCTCTGCCCTGTCTTTAACCATGATCCCCCCACCCTTGGTTCCATTCTGGCTCCTCTCCCCTTCTGGCCCTTTCTTCTCCAGGTCCCGCTATCTTTTCTGCCCTCTGGCAAATGTCCCTTCCTCTCCACCTCCATCTCTCTCTGACCCCAGGCCCTGTTCTGACCTGCCCCACACAGACAGACACATAGACAGAGAAACTCCTGCCCTTGGGGCTTCCCACCCTCCTCCTTCAGGGACTGGCTCACACTCACCAGGGGTCTTGGCAGCATTGAGGGTAACTGAGGGAAAGAGAGGCAGAAAGTCAGGACAGTGGCCAGGAGAGCCCTGTGCCTAGTGGCAAAGGGGAGCCCCCCACTCTTTCAACCAGGCTTGTTCCCGGGGCTCCCTCCAGGCCCCAGGCAGACATTTCCTGAAGCCCCAGTGGGTCAGACAAAACCTCCAGCCCTCATTATACAAAGGTGGCCTCAACCTCCCACCTGCTCTCCATCCTGTCCTTCAGACTCCCTCAGCTCCTCTCAAACACACCTCCTTTAGAGTCCTGGTTGACACTGCCCTGCCCTGTGACATCCTGCCCAGGAACAAGGAGCTGATCAAGATGCAAGCCATGGCAAGACGGGAGGAAAGATACAAGGAGGGGATAAGACAGGAGGAGATACGACGACGGTGAAGATGAATATCCGAGACACACCCCCTGAGCCCCTGCTGCATGCCGAGCTCTCATCTACATAGCTGCAGAGGAAACTGAGGCACCGAGTAACTAAACATGAGAGAGAGGGAAGAGAGAGATTTTCATGAGGTGCTGAGCTGGGGCAGGCAGCAGGGAGGGAGGTGACCCTGGGGTGGAAGAGGAGGGAGGACAGCAGGAGGAGCACAGGTCTCAGGACTCACCTGTAGAAGCCAGAAGCAGCAGGGATGTTAGGATCCCAAGACGGCCCCCACCCTGGGCTGAGGGAGGTCTGGAAACCACCATGGCCTATGGGTGTGGAGACCCAGCTAGGCGGCAGTCTCAAGGGACCCAAGGGCTGTACAGGTTGGGACAGGCAAGGCAGGTGGCTCCCTGCAGGTTGGCCCAGGTTTTATCCTGGGAGGCGGAATGCTGTTGGACCAGTCCCCCAGGGTGGCTGAGGTTGGGCCACCCAGGCTTTGGGTCAAGAAGGAGGTGGGGCTGTGGGGAGGAAGCAGCGGTTGCTGGGGCTGGGGGTGACTCTGAGTCCATGCTTCAGATGTGAGCCCAGGGCGTTGCCTCTGGAGGGGCAGGTGAACCCAGGCTGCTGGGCTGGGCTGTGGCCTTGACATCTGCTATCCAGGGGGCAGAGAAAGGCCTCCACAGCATTGAAGGGAGTCGAGGGTGGGGAGGGGCCTGGTTCTGGAGGACGTAAAGCTGAGGTCCAGGATCTTGGGGGGCCAGGGCCTTGTGATTGGGGGCTGGCCAGGGGGACTGAGGATCTGTAACGGCTCCTGCCTCTAGGGCCCTGGCTGCTGTGACTCAGCCCAGAGACCTGGCCCAGCCTGGGCCCTGGAATCCCGTTAACCCACTTCCCGGAAAGCTGTGACTCAGGCCCCAAGTGACAAGCCTGGTGGCCTGTTGGCTGAAGGCCCAGCTGTCCCTGGGCCTTCCTTCTTGTTGTCTCTATTGGCAGGGCTCAGCCCTGCACTGGGAAGCCCAGACGACTCACTTCTCACCTGGACTTCCAGGAAGGGGAGGAGCCAGTGGCACCTGGGCTGGACCAACCCTGCTGCACAAGCCTGGAGATGTCTTCAACGGCCACCTGGCCACCCCCTCTTCCTGGGCCTCTAGCAAGGTACAAAGGGCCAGGTTGCTGGGCTGTGGGTCCCTCCGCCCATGGTGGCCACCTGGGGCTGGATGGGTCCTTGTGAATGTTCCCTGACTCAGTGTCACCCCCACCCCCAGCAAGAGCAGGCATCTCTCCATGACTTCATTTAAAGGTCTCAGTCCAAAAGAAAAATAAATAAATAAAAGTAAAGGTTTCAGTCCTTGCTCTGGGAAGAAAGAGGTTAACAAAAACGAACACAGCAGCTCAGAAGTGTTCAGAGTGCCATGCATCTCACACTGTTCTCAAACTTCCTCACCACCCATTCTGAAGGTGGGGAAACTGAGGTGGCACTGGGAGGGAGCTGAGGAGGTGAGTGGTAGATTTCAGCCAGATCCTGGAAACAGACTCTTGGTGTGACTACAGTCCTGTGCCAGAGGTCCGACTCTGGGAGTCCCAGCCACTCGCCCCATATACTGGTTAAAGAGATAAGTAGTAGCTGGGCACAGTGGCTCCTAACTGTAATCCCAGCTACACAGAAGGTGAAGGTTGGAAGAACTGCAGATCAAAGCCAACCCAGATCCCCATCCCAATCAACAGCTGCACCTACTGTCCCAACTATGCAGGAAGCATAAACAGGAGGATTTCAGTTCAGGCTGACCTGGGCAAAAACTCAGGACCCTATCCCAAAAATGGCTGAAGGTATGACTCAAGCAGTAGAGCACCTGCCCAGCAAGCACAAGGTCCTGAGTTCAAACCCCAGTACCATCAAAAAACTAAAGAGAGAGACAAGTAGTGGTGAGGGTAAGAAAGGAGACATATGAACACATGGGACCAGTGCATTTCAGCCATCTTCAGGTACAGGCATGAGTTTTAGGTTTAAATAGAGGAAGAACTGGGTCAGGGTGAGAGATAGACATAGTAAGCAGTCCTGGGAAATCTGTGGCCTAGCTGGTCATTACCTCGGTTCTGGTTCTGTGATGATTCTGGAGAAGTTGTGATCGCTGTCATCACTTGAAGGGACAACCTGGCCCACATGAGATGATCTCTCCTGCTCCGAGGCACAGCCTCCTCATCATAGGTAAGGGTCCTCACTTGGGGATTCTCTGCCCCGCAAGGCTCTGCTGTTCCTTGGAGGTAGTTTTAGTCCCTTATTGCAAAGGATCAGTCCTATCCTTCCTGGAACCCAAGGTGACTGCAGAAGAGAGACTCAGAGCAAGAGAGACAGAAGAAAATGGAGGCAGGGATGCCAGACTTTTCTCCTGCTTTAGTCACCCTGGGCCAGAGTGAGGAGTCAGCGCTTCTCAGCAAAAGCAGTTACTGTTCTACTGGAGAAAGACATAGGGGCTCAGCCCTGTGGCCGGCTGTGATCGTTACTGCACAGAATCATAAGTGCTGGGGCGGGGGGCGGGGGGTCCTGACACCACTAGGGGTCAGCAAGTTCTGCCCAGAAGAGACCAAAGAACAAGTGTGGGGACAGGCATGGGCACATCACCGAGGGCAAAGGGGAGATGGAGACAGAGTCTCAGGAGAGAGAGCGTGGTGGCTGGTGGACGAGACCTGGAATCCCACCAAGGCCCCTCTGGACTGGCCACAGTTCCCCTGGGAGCTCCCTGCTCTTTGCCTCTGGGATGTCTAGAGACCCTGAGCTGCCCACTTTCTCTGTCCATTAGGGGTGAGGTGGCAGAAGGCCTGGCTGGCACATGAAGTCCCCTTTGTAGCTGGGTAAGACCTGCAACAGACCTATCCAGATACTACGGGCAGCAAATGAACTGCTGTTGTGCGCTTTGGTCGGGGGTAAGTTGCAAGCAAGATGTGGCAGAGCCCCTCTCCCACCCCACCCCACCTTACCCAGGGACATGCCAGGGTGGGGCCTCAGGATTGCCCATGGTGCATTCTCCCCCCTATGATTCTGGGTGTCACCCAGAATACCCACGTGAGCAGCCAAGATGAATCCAGCTTCTCTGGGCCCCTATAGCAGCAGAGAGATGCATGGGGAGCTCACCTGCCTGCCTCCCATCCCATCCCGTGACCACCTCTGCACCACTGCTCCTCTAACCCTCCCACCCGAAATTGAGGGGCTTGGCCTTTCCAGCTCACTCCACAAACACCTATCAGGCACCGGCTGTGTGCCAGGCCCTGTGCCGAGCACCAGGACACAGGGTGATGAATAAGACACAGGTCCTGTGCCCTAGAAGCCCACGTCTCCCTGAGTGTGGGAGGCACGGAGTAGTAATGACAGTGAAGTGTCTTGGGGTGGGCACTGACACACAGTGAGGCAATGGCATGGATCCTGGAGGGCCACTCTTGACACTTGGAGCCATGCTGTGACTCCTGGAGGGAAGGGACAGTGTGAGGAGAAGAGGTGTGAAGAGGGGCACCTCCCCCATTGGATTCCCAGGACCAAGTTTGATGCCAGCTACACACTGGGTCTCAATGGATGCTTGTTGAATGAATAAATGAGTGTGGAAGATGTAAATCCGGAGGTGTCTGAAAGCCAACAGCTCTAGCCTCTTTCCTACCTCCTGCCTATCCATCTCTTCTCCCAGTGCCAGCTTTTTTTTTTTTTTTGGGTGGTACTGGAGTTTGAACTTAGGGCTTCACTATGCCATCTTCTTATGCCTTTCCAAAGACCTGGCTCACTGTCCTGGGGACCCAAGGGGCAAGCATGTTCCCTAACATGTTGCACCTTTGAGATGCATGTCCAGGAAGAAACTGCAAGCAGAAGAGCCCTGTAAGAGCCAGAGGAAGTCCTGAGAAGCTGGATGAAGGCTTCCTGGCACAAGTCCTGGGGAAGAGCCCAGGGCTGGTTCCCCAATTCCCAGGGCGTGAACAGTTACAGTCCCTGCCAGACGGGGGTGGAGACCCCAGCATGATTCAACATCCAGTCAGCAAAATATTTACCAAGTGCCTACCTGTGCCAGACCCACACCAGGTATCCTGGCTGGGCATCACCTCACCTGTACAAAGGCTAGATGAGCTGCCCACCTGGTGTCAGGGCCACTGACCAATTCACACTGAGGTGTTGATGACTGATAGGACTGTAGGGACAAATTGCATTCTGGCAGCAGCTGGAGTTATAATACCAAAGCCCAAGATGTGACTCATCAGCGGCGCCTTTCAGATGTGGGCCTAGGAGACAGAGGACATTTTTTTTTTTTTTGAGACACTGTCTTGCTACATCACCCAGGCTGGCGAACTTCTTATCCTCCTTCCTCATCTTCCCAAGTGCTGGGATTACAGGTTTGCACCACCACATCTGGCTGGGTACATATATATATATATATATTTTTTTTTTTTTTTTTTAGGTACTGGGGCTTGAACTCAGGGCCTACACCTTGAGCCACTCCACCAGCTCTTTTTGAGAAGGGGTTTTAAAAATAAGGTCTCGTAAACTATTTGCCTGGGCTGGCTTCAAACTGCAATCCTCCTGATCTCTGCCTCCTGAGTAGCTAGGATTACAGGTGTGAGCCACTGGCGCCCAGCTTGGGTACGTATTTTAACCAGGCATATCCATTCCTCATCCATTCCTCATCCAACCAAAGGCTACCACACACCACCTGCTAGAGACTGTGCTAAGCCTAGCAGTAGTGAAAGAAAATAAGGCACTAATGCACTCTCATTAAGTCAGTCTACAAGCAGTACTGGGCACCTACTATGTGCTGGGCACTGTCCTTCCTACCAGAGACAGTACAGTAGACAAACCAAGGCCAATTCCTGCCCTTGTGGCATGGACACAGGAGGGAAATAGAGGATTCAGAATACAACCTAACAGACAACAAAACCTATGGGGAAAACCAAAGCAAGGAAGGGGACTGGGTCCCAGGGGAGCAGGGAGACCGGAGCTGGCTGACAGTTGAAGGTCTTCGGCCTTCCTGAGAGGCCTGCTGCCCGACATGGCTCTGAGCTGTGAGCAGGATGGGATATGCTGTCGCCAATAGGATGGCCCTGGCTGCTGCATTAAGAGCTGGCGCAGGGGCAAAGGAAGCAGGGCGTTAACTGGTACTTAAAAGCTGCTTTTACTGATTGCTTACTTGGCCCTCTAATTAACTGACACGTAAAGCTGTGGCATCCACACCTCCATTTTGTATTTGTGTCCTTTGCTCTGAGCCATTCTCTCCTGCAGTCACTTTGCAGCCATCTTGGAATCCAGAAGGGGCAGGACTAACGGACAAACACCCTAGGCCAGAAGACAAAG